ATCAGATAGATATTCCCAGAACTGTTAAATATAGTTGGTATTTCCCCTCAAAGGAGCTTTTCCTCATTTGGGGAGACAGGGCAGGAGGGGAAGGTGGGGAACTAGGGAAAAAGAGACAAGGGCTGCGGATTCCCTAACAGATTATGCAAGTACGTTTACATGTACTCTCACTCATTCACTCACGCGTTCAAACATTCGCTGAGTCCCTGTACATCAGGCCTGTCCTGGGCCCTACGAATACATTCGGCAAACACATGGGGCTTAGTAGGTGAGTTCAACCCATCAAATTCTATCAGTAACTGTAAAATTATGATTATGGGAAGTCAACTAAAGAATGGTATGTGATGCTTCAAGTGTTTTTATCCAGGGGTCAAGGAGTAAGTCATAATCGAGCTAAGACCTGGAAGAAAGATGTCAAAGGGTAGAGGCACCTGGAGCAATGAAAGCAAAAGCCCAGCGGCAGCACAGCCTACGGTACCCCAAAGAACAAGAAGGCTGAAGTGTCAAAAGTAAGGGACATCATGTAAAATAAAGCAGGTCCCGGAGAGACAGCCTGTGCAGAAGTTATGGGCAGTAACTTCAGAGTTTTGTTTTGTTTTGTTTTGTTTTTTGAGACAGACTCTCACTCTTTTGCCCGGGCTAGAGTGAGTGTCGTGGCGTCATCCTAGCTCACAGCAACCTCAAACTCCTAGGCTTAAACGATCCTTCTGCCTCAGCCTCCCGAGTAGCTGGGACTACAGGCTTGCGCCACCATGCCTGGCTAATTTTTTATACATTTTTAGTTGTCCGATTAATTTCTTTGTATTTTTAGTAGAGACAGGGTCTTGCTCTTGCTCAGGCTGGTTTTGAACTCCCAAGCTTAAAGAATCTGCCCACCTTAGCCTCCCAGAGAGCTAGGATTACAGGCGTGAGCCACCGCGCCCAGCCAACTTCGGAGTTTTACTTCCTCTAATTGTTGAGTCTATGACAGTTTCAGTAACCTCATCTGTTTCTTCAAAAGAAAGGTAGAAAAAAAGGGAAAAAATGAGTAAAATTCAGCTTTTATAAACTAATAGGAAGATGATCTAGAAAACTGTTTCATTTTGGAAAAAATTTTTTTTAATTTTAGAAAGCTAAGGATTTGGAAAAAATAAAAAATCCTTCCCTACCAGATCTTTTAACAAACTGAAGTCATTAACTATGCCACTTAATTTCAGGATAAATTTCTAAATTAACCGATTAATGAAGCTTTAATAATTATGTTATCTTCTAATTAGACAGTAAAATACTGACCAATGTTAATTAGTATTTCTCCTCCCTCAGAGTACCCTCTTGAGCCTTTACTAACAGTACTAATTTCTCTTGCCCTAGAAAGTCCTGACTCCTCTTGCCCTAGAAAGTCTAGATTGTCTAACTTTATAAAGTAGTTTGCAACTTTGTGGCTGTCTCTGAGGTTAATTAATAAAACCCAGAAACCTACTTGAATTTGAATAATGTTTCTGATAAATTACCATGAAACCAAATGGCACCATGATTCAAACCTCAATTGTAATACACGAGTGCTGACGTCAGGGTTTCAAAAAAACACGCAAAAAGCCCTCCCAAAGCCCTCTGCCAAATACAGATCAGCAAGTACATTTTTTCAGAGTTTTATTAGGCAATTAACCATTATCTCAACATCACCATGCTCTACCACAAATGGAAAGAACCTGTAACATGGCATTATAGGAGGTCAGGGAAGCAGTTCTATTTGGCAGTGGCCACCAGCACGTGCGGAGAGGAGTTCTGGCTGCAGACTAGAGCGGGAAGAGGCATAAAGACTGAACGCTAAGGTGATGGAGAGATGAATGGAAAACCGGGAATCCACAGAAGTGGACAGAAATAAAGAATTATTACCAAAACAAAACAAGCTGGGCACAGTGGCTCATACCTGTAATCCCAGCAATTTGGGAAGCTGAGGTGGGAGGATCGCTTGAGACCAGGAGTTCAACACCAGCCTGGGCAACACAGCAAGACCCGTCACCACAAGAAAATTTTTCTTTTAATTAGCCAGGCATGATGGCGCACACCTATAGTCCCACCTACTCAGGAGGGTGAGGCAGGAGGATCACTTGAGGCTAGGAGTTTGAGACTGCAGTGAGCTATGATTGTGCCACTGCACTCCAGCTTGGATGACAGAGCAGGACCCTATCTAAATAAAACCCAAAAAACTCTACAAAAAACGTCATGGAAAACTCAAAGAAAATTTGAGGCTGGGTGCAGTGGCTCATGCCTGTAATCCTAGCACTTTGGGAGGCTGAGACGGGAGGATCACTTGAGGCAAGGAGTTTAAGAGCAGCCTCAGCAACATAGCAAGACCTTGTCTCTACAAAAAGCAGAAAAATTAGCCAGGTGTGGTGGCACGCACCTGTAGTCTCAGTTATTCAGGAGGCTGAGGTGGGAGGATCACTTGAGCCTGGGAGTTGGAAGTTGCAGTGAGCTATGATGACACCACTGCACTCCAGCCCAGGCCAACAGAGCAAGACCCTGTCTAAAAAAAAAAAAAAAAAGGAAAAGAAAAGAAAAGGAACGTTTGGCCAGAAAAGAAGAGCTGGAGGAAAAAGACCTGAAGACTGTGATTCAGGAAAAGGAGTTTATGATGCCCTCCATGTCTCCCCACTAAAGTATCTATCAAGTATCAATCTCGTACAAGTACATGTAGGACAAAAGAAACCTCCCGAATCTATTCCTTGCCCAGTCCAGTGTGGCAACGTTGACTGCAAAGAAGAGCTGAGTACCTGATCCAGAAAGGTACAAAACGAGAACAACACGCATATAAAAGGATACCAACAAGAGTTCGGGGTTACAGTGAGCTATGATCACACCACTGCCACTCCACTCCAGCCTGGTGACAGAGTAAGACCCTGTCTCAAAAAAAAGACACCAAATTCAGCTTGATGAAAAAGTGACTGGGCTGTGTATACCAGAGAAGTAGACACTTGAGTCTCCTAAACTGACTCTTCCAGTGGAATTGTTATGGACGTTCTGTATAGATAATAAGAAAACTACTGACTTTAACTGAATACTTGTTGTATTTTAAAATTGCAAGTTTTCCTTTGCCATTAAAGGAAGTAACTGGTAAAGAGATCCCTAAAACTTTTATTAAGATCTTGATTTTACACACAGCTCCCTAAAAAGAGCTAAAAGTACACCAGGCATGGTGGCTCACGCCTATAATCCTAGCACTTTGAGAGGCCAAGGTGGAAGGATTACTGGAGCCCAGGAGTTTGAGACCACCCTAGGCAATAGCAAGACTCTGTCTCCACAAAAAATAGACAAATTAGCTGGGCATGGTGGTATGCACCTGTAGTCCCTGCTTCTTGGGGGGCTGAGGCAGGAGGATTGCTTGAGCCCAAGAGTTTGAGGCTGCAGTTCGCAATAATCGCACCACTACACTCTACCTGGGGCAACAGAGCAAGACCCCATGTCAAAAAAAAAAAAAGCTAAAACTGGCATTTCAATCCACTCTACTAAAAAATACATAAACATGGTATGCAAGTTGCCTGTATAGCATTAACAATCCTAAATCTTGGGCTTTTTATGATCTTTCCATGACTTTACATCTAACAACTTCATAAAGTGGCCTACTCTAATAATCCTCTTTTCACAAATGAATGCTGATATTCAGAAAGTGGACATCCTGTAAGAAACACAGATCAGCTTAAGCTTCCTCTCCATCTTCATTTCTTAACAGTCTCCGTTCAGTCACTCAGCTCTACCCATGCTTATTTCCTTTCTATTCTAGAATTACACTGTTTACTAAAGTAAGGCTCTATTGAATTTACCTATGTATTCCTAGCATCTAGAAGAAAATAAATAAATGGGAGGCCAAGGTGGGAGGACTGCTTGAGGCCAGGAGCTCGAGACCATCCTGAACAAGAAGGAGACCCTGTCTCTGCTAAAAATAGAAAAATTAGCCAGGTATGGTGGCATGCACCTGTAATCCCAGCTACTTGGGAGGGGGAGGCAGGAGGATCACTTGAGCCCAGGAGTTTGAGGTTGCAGTGAGCTATGATGATGCCATTGCACTCTAAGCAGGACAACAGAGCAAGACGGTCTCCAAAAAAAACAAAAAGAAAAGAAACTCAGCAAATATAAAGACAAAATTACACATGGGTTCAAGTTCAGTAACCTGTTTACAGTTGATTCTCTATCATAGGGCAGCCATCATTAGAAAGCTTTAGTGGAGAATATTCCAAGTAGATATACACATCCCTTCAGTATAATTTAGCAGAATATAATGAACCTAATCAATAACTAAAGCCACATGCTGGTGTCCAGAGGGTCAGATCAGGTATATGGCTGTCCTTCCAGAACATGCCATCACAACGTTAGTTTGAGTGTCACACAATGCAGCACAACTGCTGACTACTCTCAAAACTACAAAGGGGGCTGGGCATGGTGGCTCATGCCTGTAATC